CTTTAGAACATATCTTAGTACTACCATACCCTGTGATTAAAGTCAATGGAAAATTATAGCCACCCAATTCTGATATGACTGCTAATGGCCCAGACCCTTCAGGAATGAAGGTTTGGGTCACCGCACCAGGCAAAGTACCACAACCAGCTGAGGTGCTTGCTGAGGGCAAGGGAAATACAGAATGTGTGGTAGAAGAAGGTAGTTCTGAGTATCAGCTACAACCACGTGACCAGCTGCAGAAATGAGAACTGTGATTGTTATATTTCTTCATTGTATATGTGCATCAAATATTTTCATTTTCTTCTGTTATGAACTGTGAAATGTAAATAAGGTCAATGCGTTTTGGTTGTACGTGTGTTAGCGTATTATGTTAGGTACAAATATGACTTTATAACTGTCCTTATTTAGAGATTATATATCGTTAAGAAAATGTGTACAACTGCCAAGTTGACAAGGGGTGGACTGTGATAGTTGGAGCTGTGTGTCAACTTGGCTGGACCACAATTCTGTGTGGTTTGAGCTGTTGTATTGTGGTTGTTCCCATGATAGAATCAGATGATTATGTTTTGAGTGGCCAATCTGTTGAAAGGGAGTTTCCCTAGGGGTATGGCCTGCTTCCAGTATATCTGTGGACATCCTGGGAGAAGAGATATTCTTCTGTGGATTGGGATTCTGTTGTGCTGCCTACAACTGTCCGTGAGTGAACAGTCCTCAATTCGTCCTGGAGATCTTGGATTCATCATTCGTTGGAGTCAACAACCAGTACACTGCCTGCCAGCTTTGAGCTCCTCAGCCCCTGTGACTGCAACAGTCAGGAAAAGCCTCCAGCTTGACGTTTGATTCAGGGACTTTGGACTTGCCAGCTTCTGTGTGAGCCATTTTCCTATTATAAACTTCTCTATATATACATATATATAAGCTTTACTGGTTTTGTTTCTCTAGAGAACCCAGTCTAACACAATTACCCAGACTGCTGGCCTTGGTGTTTTACATACTGTCTTCAGGTTTGTTAGAACCTGCAGCTATTCCAAGAGAATCATTTGAATTTTGTTGAATCTGTCCAGAGGTTTTGGTATGTAGTGGTTGCTGGTTACATCCAGTCAAACCCCAGAGACAGCATAAAGTGTATTTTGAAATATATAAAGTGTCCTCTGAATAAGAGGGAGTATTTCCCTCCCAAGTTACTTATCAAGTGTCTGCCTATTGTACACAACATACTGGAATATCATGCGAAATTCCTCAATGCCTGAAGTTTATGATAGCTCACCAGTTAAGAGAACTGAGACAATCTGGTGTGGGGACAAATGATTAAACGACACAGAATTGGAAGAAAGGACTGAGGTGTGTTTATTACAGAAAAATCCTGTTTAAGTCTGAACCAATCTCCAAACTGAAGCCAGAATCAAGAGGCTTATTGGTTAAACGGAATGTGATGTTTTCTGCACACCTCCCAACCCTGGGCATCTCCTCAGTTTCCTTCTGTAAAGAAAGGATGTCTAGGGGGACTTCTTGGGAAGATTATGTACCCTGGCTAACTTGGAAAGTTTGCAATAAAGGTACCATTCAGTCTATCTGGGCTTGTGGTGGGCTCGGGGAAATGAACAGATGAATGATCTCTTAGTTTTCTTAACAACACACAGTATGTGTGTTTCTGAGCTGTCACTGGGGCCAGATAAATGTTATGGGGAAACAAGAGGGAGGAGTAGAACATAGGCCCTTCTCTCTTTGGAGAGACAGCTCAGCTGTGTCTCTATTTTCAGGATAGCAGCAATTTTCTGAGACCAGAGTGATAAAGCTGTGGGTACAATAAATACTTTTCTTTATGCCACGCTGATTTTTCCTGAAAATTGATCAAATGGAACTTTTATGAATTGAAACCTATAGATGCTTATTAAGGGAACATTCACAGAACTGATGAATTGTGCCAAGGTCCAAAGTGAACTTCCTGGAAGTTTTTATTTGAAATTAAAAATTAAAAGTAATAGATGTTTACTGCAGGAAAATTGGAAGCTATTCACAATGGCAAAAGGAGCTCTGGTGGTGTAGTGGGTAAGGCATTTGGCTACTAACCAGAAGGTTGGTGGTTCAAACCCACCACTCTGTGGAAGACGAGGCAATCTTCTTTCCTAAAGATTCACAGCTTTGGAAACCCAGTGGGGGTGTCTATGAGTCAGAAT